TCGGATAATGAGTCTACGCAATTGAGGTATATGGTTCGGTAACCTCTAATTTTTATGGTTATGAGATGCCTTGCTAGACATATTACTTGATATTAATAGGTTGAGTTTTAGTGCTCTCAGTGTCCATGGCCCAGGTTGGGTGGTCAGGTGAGACAACTTACATGGATGCACCAATGTGCTTTTAATTTGAACTGTTGTTCAGATTGACTCTAGAGCCTATTTTGGTTAACTCGTTGTTGTTTTACACTGTTGGTGTATATCGAGTCTAACTCTTTTGAGTGGTTTTTTTACCAGGTGATTCAGAGACAGGCTGAGTGTGGCTCTTAATGTCATTTTCTTGGTTATTTATTGGTAAATAATTGGTATTTAATTAATTAATTATTTATTCTATATTATTTACACAATTATTTTATTCCTTAAAAACCGAGCAAAATCTTCCTAAATATATTTATAGGAGTTCGAAAATTTGAGCTATGATAAGCTCAATATTTTCGACCCTATTAAATTATTTTGGGGGAATTTAATTGGTAAAATCATATTTTTAATTATCTCCTAAAATCTCTTATTTTCCTTAATTCTAATTCTCCATCTTTTTAATATCTAATCATGATATTTTCTTGCCAATCATTCTTATTAATTATTCCCCAAGTAATTCTAATTTCCTTAATATTTTTCATGACATATATACCTTCCATATTCAAGTGTACACAATCACCTAAATATCCAAACTTTCCTTAATTCTTTTACTCACTTTTCCAAGTAATCCCTTAAACCCTACTTACCATAATTCTTCCCAAATTCTCTTGCCATAATTCTTGCATGAGCTAGCCTATAAATATCCATTCATACCTCTCACATTCTTCACACCAATTCTCTTCTTTTCTTCTCCTCAATTTTACACAAATCATCCCGTTTATTTTTGAAGCCAATTTCGGGCACTTCTGATCAGTTTTTGAGGTATTGATGTTTCATAGAAGATTTTTCCTCTCCAAAAATACTTGAGTTTAGGCTCAAGAATCACCCAATTCGGAGTTATATCAAAGGAGTTATAGCCTCTGCAAGTTCTTCCTATTCTTTCCAACGAAAATTCAATTCTCTTCAAACCTATTTCTTTATCTTCTTCATGGTTAGTTCTTCCTATTCTTTCCAACGAAAATTCAATTCTCTGCAAGTATTATTTTAAAAGATTTTTATAGTCCATGCACATTCGATTTGAGTTTATGTTGTGATAACCTTATGGTTATGTTATTTGCAAGGTGTATTCGTGATTGAACTTTGAAAGTGCGAAGTGTTGATTGATATTCGGAATCAAGGTTCTTGAAGTTATTTTTGTGTTGTTTTCTAGCAAAGGTTGAATTGAATTGATTTGAATTATGATTTTGAAATAAATTATGTTTGAAGGTATTTATTTTAATAAAAGTATTTTAAATGATTGATTTTTAAATCATGTTTTTAATGGTTTGAATTACTTATCGTGTTTAAATAAAGAAATTGATTTTAAAAGGTTTGTTGAATTAAATAAAGGTTTTTCAAGGAAGAGTTGTTGATTTTGAAAAGTATTAATGTGAGATTTTATTCTCAAGTATTTACTTACAAGGTTTGATTTTGAAAGCATGTGGAATTAATTAAAAAGGATTTTAAATTATATTGGAACTACTGGATATTAAAAGGATTTATTGAACCATTGAATTATTATTATTAATGCTTTATAAGCATGTTAGTAATCCCCTTATGCGGATTTGGTTTATTGATAAGGCCTTGGACTTTGTATGACCAGGTCTTTTCTCAAGAATAACCTTGTAATATAAGGAGACTAGCTTGGGGGTGTGCACACTTGGGTGAGGAATTGGATTGAAAGGAATTGGTTCTTAATAAAGGAATTGGTTTTATTAACTATTATTTTGAGTATTGAATCATTGGAATCGGTTTTGGAATAATGAGTTTGAAATTATTGGATTACTTATTGGAATTGGTTTTAAAAGTATGTTTTGCAAATAAATTGAGTTTACATTATCTTGCACTTATCGTACTTAGCATAATTTGCTAATCCGTATTTCTTATTTGTTTTGGTTCGCCCTGTTTACCGTAATGGTAAGCAGTGTTTACTATTTTCAGATGGAGTCATGAATGAGCATATGGGAGTCCAGGGATTTGCTTCACCTAGCATAATTTGCTAATCCGTTTTTCTTATCTTTATTTTTGAGTACTCATAACAATTTTACTATTTTTATAAGTATTAATAAAAGAAAGTTGAGTTTCTGCTGCAAGTTTTGTTGTTGAGTTAAGTATTTTGAGTAGCCTTGCGTAATCACGCGGCGGTAATACGCCCCAAGTCTATCTCTACGGTATAATTATACGTATTATACTGGTATTTCCGTAGAGGGAGATTTGGGGGTGTTACAGTTGATACCTCAACAAAAACCTCTATGAGAAGGTTTGTGGAGCATCCAGACCACCCAAGTAGCTATTAGATGAGTCCCATCATCATATGGAAATCAAACAAGGATATGCATTAACTGACTAAGGGACTCAATGCATCTAGGGAAGAATACAGGGGACAAAATTCAACAGCTTTACCAATTCCAAACCAACTAGTCAAAGGTGAAGAAAAAATACAGGGGACTCATAATCTACTGCCATGGTAGAACAAACACCATAACAAACAAGCAATGCAACCAACATATAGCATACTTCCTCAACAGAAATGCCCAACAACACACTAACATCCAGGTCAAACACATAACTTTTCCAACACCACACAACCAACTAATGCAAACCAAACCAATAATCCAACAGCAAACAACCAACATGTTCAAACACACCAGTATTCCAACATATCCAAACATCAAAATTATCATATACCAGAATTCCAACATGTCACAACCAACCAACATTGAATAAATCACATAATCGACACCACACAAGCAAAAAAACAATTATGTGAGCACCACACAAAAAACAAAATCCAACCAACAAAATCCAACCAAACAACTAGTGAACCAACAATTTCACAATATATGCGAAAACGGAGGACCATATTTAAAAATTAGGGTTTTTAGAATATACGCTGCGCATTCAATTACGAGGAGGGTTGAACTGAGGGTAGTAGATCTGCAGGTAAGACTCAATCACTTCCTCCCATGTCATCCTGTCCGGAGGTCCAGATTTGATCCATTTAGCGCCGGAGGAAGGCCCTTCTTCAGCGTCGTGGGACTCAGGTGGCTTAGTCACCTCAGAAACCTCCAGATCTACTAGGGTAGACTCCCTAGTAGCGGATCCAGTAGCGGACACCTCCACCTCAGCAACTGGAGCAGTAGAAACCTCAACAACAACCACGGAACCCTCATCCTTTGTAACCACCTCAGAGACCACCGCCTTAGGCTTCTCCTCCTCATCGCTGACATACTCATCCAGTTTTTCACCCCGGATCCTCCTCCTTGCAGTGAGAGAAGCACGACAAACGGGTTTCATGTTACCCGTTCCTCGTTATGGCTTGTAGGTTACGCTGCCAGATGGGCGGTCAGATCCGCTCGATTATAGCGTCTCATGGCAAGTAAGATCAAGGTTTTTGTCGTTAGGAGTAGACATTGAAGGAGTGAAGATGTTGAAACAGAGATTTGATGAAGAGTGGAAATCGAAAATAATGAAGCAGAGAAGAGAGACAGAAAGAGAGAGAGAGGATGAGAATCGGCGTAGAGTGAGGAGTGAGAAAATAAGAGCTAGCGTTTTGGGGGAAGGATTTATTCTGGAGAATTCTCTAGAATAAATGAACTCAACCAAATTCATCTGATGAATTGAATGAGGAGCATTCAATTGAGGTAGTTGAGGAGATGTTGAATTTGAAGGGTTGGTTTTTTTTTTTTTTTTTTTTTTTTTTTTTTTGTGGGAATGATTAATTTAATTAATCAGTTAGGTAGTGTAATAAGATAAGGTTAGTAGTATAATAAAGTTGAGATAATAAAAAATTAAGGGTAAATTGGTAATTTTGACAAAAAAAAATTACTATAAAAGAAAAGAAATAGGAAAGTTGCAAGTAATGTGGATCAGCCCAAAAAGGAAATAGTTGCAAGTAAATTGGACCGGAGGTAGTAAAAGAGAAAATCAGACGGTTACCTTACTAAATGAGGTACGAGAGCCGCTTGGTCTAAAAATCTTCTTACAGGCGGACAAGTGGCCGAGTGTCGGATGCTATCAAAGAAGAAGACAAATTCACAGAAGTCAAAGACCCAAGATTATCTCTCAAGATTCACGCAAACGTGTGAATGCAATGAAGGGGTCAACCCCTATTTATAGAAAGGGTGAAAAGTCTAGGGTAAAAACCCTAGATTCTACTCATGGTACACGGTAAAAAGTCGTACCAATGAGAAGCTGACACCTGTCACAGGCGTCACGTGGCAAGTCACGTCATCCCTTTGAGGGGCAAATGATTAGGGTATTCCTACCCCACCAAGTGACCCAATGAGAGTGCGACACGTGTCACTGAAAGAGGTGTCCAAATGGACTTCCCATATTATGACACGTGTCACGCAAAAATGGCCCATGGGAATGGCGGCCTTCAAGGCCCAAATCCCAAGGAGAACCGCAAAACGACGCTACCCTAAATCCTAGGTCATCAAACCTTAGGACAGGGCACACCTTTTTAGGACCCTATAAATAGGGACATTCCCCATTTATTGGGGCACGTCTTAATCATTACATCATTTATTGCTCTAAAAAATAGAGAACACCTGATCTCGAAATCCGAGAAGATTTTTATTTTCCGCACGTTTTACTCCGAATATGTACTAACTTAAACTTCGGAGCCTGACCTCCGAACATCCGAAGCTCCGTTCTTTGGAAGGTAAATGCGGCTTTGTTGGTCCCAGTCTTTGAGTTGTAACTCTCCCAACTCCCAAAGGACACAAAAATACCCAAAACACCTAAGATGAGAAATGAGTACAGACACCAAAGTGCAGCCAACCACATTCCGTCAAAAATAGATTTAGTTTGAGATACAATATTAAATTTTGTATGGTCCAGCATAAGATTAATTTTGAAACAATGTACCCTAATTGGGCTAATTCCAGTTTTAGGAAAATAGATAGATTTTGAGTAGATGTTCTACTTCTAACAGCAAAAACAGTAGTGAATTATACGGGACAAATTACACCTTACAAGAGAGCATACAGGCAATGTAGCTGCAAATTCTGAGCTACTAGTTAGCCCAGCTAGAATTTTCAGCTCTGTACATAAGCATCGGGTGAAATACAAACTATACCATGACACATTGGATATGATACATTGATTTTTCTTTTCTTTTTTTGTTTGACGAGAACATTGATTTACATTAATTCAAAAAGGATCTGGATAAATTAAGCTTCCTGCCATACGCCTCTCTAAACTTTTTTTTTTTTTTTTGAAAACACACGCCTCTCTAAACTTTATTCTTTGAAAGTATCCGAAAATAGCTTTATAAGAATGGTTGAATAGGCGCTGTGGACTTCAGTTCGCAAGCAGCTTGGAAACAATCAGCGGCCTGCAATATTAAACCTTCTTTTTTAAGAATCAAACCTAAATGCAACCAAGCATCATGGTTTGTTGGTTCTAATTGTAGGGCATTCGTTAAGAAGCCTTTTGCTATAGGTAGAGAAGAGGGACAAAGTTCCATGAACACTTCCGCAGCTGAAACTAATCCAGGTACGTAATTTGGATCGATTGACAGTGAGACAGAGAAAGCAACGAGTGCTTCCTTGTATTGTGATCGAGCCTTGAACAGCACACCTGTATGAAATCTAAGATATCAGTAAAAGATTTTTAACTCCTCCTCTGGTGTCTCTTAGAATTAGAACCAACCAAATGGTACACACCCAGAATATGACCCAAAATCATCTCACCCAATCTGAATGACCCGTATACTTCTAATGACATACCTGCTACATGCCAACTTTGAGGGCTGTACAGGTTGATTGACTTTGCCCTTTCCACACAAATTTCGGCATCTCCCAAAGACTCAAGCCTTGTGTACAGATTGGACAGATCTTGCCAAGCTTCCATCTCCAGATTTTTCATTTCTGTTACCTATGAAATGGTCAATAAAATATTAAGAAATCTCCGTCACTAATGGCATCTAGGATATAATGACAAAAACTTCTTATATCTAGAATTCTAGATTAAAGAATCTACCACTTGATGATAAATAAGATAAAAGTTTAAACACATGCTCCAAAGACGATATAATAACAACAATTCTGAATCAAATTCTGACATGTAGCCTTGTAGGTGGCACATGCTGCAAAAGACAACCCCCCTCTCCCGCCCCTCCCCCCTCTCTTATTATGGCGCATTGGCGCATGATACAAGTTTTTGAATGTCTCTTGAAATAATAATAATAATAATAATAATAATAATAATAATAATAATAATAATAATAATAATAATAATAATAATAATAATAATAATAATAATAATAATAATAATAATAATAATAATAATAATAATAATAATAATAATATAATAATAATAATAATAATAATAATAATAATAATAATAATAATAATAATAATAATAATAATAATAATAATAATAATAATAATAATAATAATATAATAATAATAATAATAATAATAATAATAATAATAATAATAATAATAATAATAATAATAATAATAATAATAATAATAATAATAATAATAATAATAATAATAATAATAATAATAATAATAATTAATAATAATAATAATAATTAATAATAATAAATAATAATAATAATAATAATTATGCTAACCTTAAATTTTTTGTTATCTGCTTAATCTTAATGTCAGAATATGCACATACCTGCAGGGTGTGACTCTGAAAATTGTGCTTCTTTGCTGCTTGAATCTGTGCCAACAGTTGTACGTAGTTTTCTATAGCTTGCTTGGGATTATCTTGAGCAATCTGTAGAACAGCCTTTAATCTCAACAGTTGTAACTGATCAATGCCGGTGGTTTCATCCAATGCAATATCAACTATGTCTTCAGCATCTTCAAATTGCTGCTGTGCGGAAGCTACTAAAGCCAATAGTTTCCACCCTTTCCCCGAACTCCCAACCATCATATTGGAGTAGAGCTTGGTGTAACCGAAACTGGCATCAAGATTTCTTTGAGCAGCATTTTCCAATCCCAGGTTGAACATCAACTCAGGATCATCCTTTACAATACAAGCAGCCTTGTTAAGAGACTTCAGTGACCCCTTCCGATACATCTCTCTTTCCAAGTTAGATGTAGATACTCTGGCAGCATTTGAATAGCACAACCCTAAGAACTTATGAGCTTGAGCCATAAAATGGTTGTTTTCGTCACCAGCCAATTCAAAAACTCTATGACAATAGTCTATTCCTTCTTGAGCATGCTTCAAATCATCCACGCACAATTTTGCTCCCAACAAAAGAGAAGGGATGTGAGGTTTGTGCTTTGACTCAGAATGTCCAGTAATCTTCCTCACTAGATTTAATGCTGCCTCGTTCTGGCCTGCAGCACTATGACAAAGGGCAAGAATGTACCATCTCTCAGCTCTGTCATAGATTCCTGGAAGTACAAGCTCCACATGCTGAGTGAGAAACAAGAAACCATTACACATTGACAATGCAAAAGAGAGATGATCCATGATTTCTGGGTCCCACTCAATTTCATTACATGATGCTTTTCTAATCAAGATAAACAGCAAAAGAATTGCTTCCTCGATATTACTTCTAGGGGTAGTTGGACCCCATATTAGTAATTGAGGGGAAAGGCCCACTTCAACCCCTCCATAAATCAATATAGCAGCTAACTCCTTTTGGGCACTAGCTAATCTGTAAGGATCCAAGTTCCAGGGCTTCACAAGAGCTCGACGACAAGCTATGATGGCTTCATCAAGGCACCCAGCTTCTTTCCATAGTTTAGGAAGCAATTCCAGAGCCTTGTGAAACATCTCTTGCATCCTATTGTCTTTACTGATCTTGGCTGGCATACCATTAGGTAATGCAGATTCGACTATGTCCACAATCAATTTGCACTCCCTAGCAGCCTCTGGTAGATCATCAAGAACAGCATAGCACAGTAGATTAGATAACATATGATAGGATTGTACCTCAATAAGTATTGTACGAGACAGAAATTAATCATATCCTATCATGTAATCCTTCAGCGTACATATCCAAATTCCTTGGCTCTTTGGTAATAGTTCATTGCGATAATTTGATGGTGACATAAAAAATGGTACTTAGTGCCTATTCAATGGAGTAACTTGGAGATATGAGATGAAATTATCCATATTTTTTACTCATATGAATTAAACCAAATATTCAACACATTAAATAATACAAGTTTCATGCCAGTTGAGTGTCCATCCAAACAGAGTCTGTCTACAAATCATATTAACATTTTTATGCAAGGACTATTCAGCAGTGATTAATTCCTACAGCGTCCCATATACGCTACGATAGCGAACTTAAGCATTTGATGTGCATGATGCATTCTGTACAGAACAATACAACACTTCTTATAATATCATAAGAAAGTACCTGAAATCTTCCCAAGTTCTTCCAAGACCTTAGACTTGAGTAGAATGGCTTCAAGGAGAAGGCTTACAGAATGCCAAGACATTACACCAGCAAGGGAATTATCACCCTTGGATCTTTGTTTTCGTGGCCTGGTTCGCTCTGAAATAGCAGTAACCATTCTTGGAGTTAATCCCTTAATGTCAATCCCTTGGAAAAGTTGTAGAGCAGCATCAAAATTCCCTTTCTGATATTCTATCCTGCCAAGCAATGCTCTAGCTTCCTGATAGTTAATAGTCTCCCAATTTTTAGTTCAGGTTAAAATAATTAAATTATATATATATATATATATATATATATATATATATATATATATATATATATATATATATATATATATATATATATATATATAAAGGGATTACTAGAATATAGCATTATCAAAATGACTAATCAAACAGACCTAATCAAACCACAAAATACCCAATAAAAGTTCAAATTAACCTAATCTAAACATAAATACCCAATAAAACAATGCTAAAAAAGCACCTCATAGTTTAATGAGAGAGCTTCCTTCAACGTGGATTCAACTTCATCTACATGAGCATCTTCATATTTTGACCCCAAATCACCAGTAGTCCTTGAAGAAATACTCTTCAAATCGTCCGTTCTCGACGAGAGGCCACTGATCGAGAAATCTCTGGTGGCCAACGACTCCGGTGACCGCGGTACCGGCTCCTTGAATTTGAATTGCTCTCCTGAGCAAGCACACAACATTGTTCCCGTTTCCAAAACACACAAACAACCATACACCAGAGCAAAGATATCTTTAACCTTTCCGCTCCCAAACTAAGTATAACTCAACAGAGTATCCTTCATTTTATAGTCTGCAATAACAGGCATTTGCATAGTTAGGCAATTTCAGATCTTATTTGCTTATTATTACAACAACTTCCTACAAATTTAAACAAGAATAAATAAGTTTATATAATTCAGATCAAAAGGGTATTTCAGAACTTAAATAATCCAAAAATCAAACCACATTTCAAAGCAAATTAATCAACAAAATCAAACTAAGGAGACAAAAGGTTTATAGAAGAATAAAATTTCAATAAATGCAATAAAATTCAAATGCAAAAAACCTAAAACAATGCCCTCGAACTAACCACCAAAAAAACTGCCATGAAAGCAACTTCTCTAACAGAGAATCTTCTCAGTTCTCAGTCTCTCTCAGTAATCTTGGGTTTGTTCATGTGAGCTAAAATTGGATGTTTTGAATTTTTCCAACTTTAATTTAAGAAAAAGAGAGCAAAAATTGAAAACAACTCATAAAAATAAGATTCTCAACTATGTTACGGAGATCTGAGTTGAGTGCGCACTTTTGTCCTTTTTTTGGCACCTTTTGTGAGTGTGTTGTTGCTGACCTTTGCGCGCAGTGGCTTGTTATGGGCTGGCGAAGGCAACAGGTGAAGTGTGATATCTGCTATCTTGCTGTGCACAATTAAAAGTTGGTTAGTATTTTATTTCTTTCTGTCTCTGTGTTATGCTGCTAAGAATGATGAGAGATTGTGGTATTAATGTTGGATGGGGTTTAGGTTTGATTTTCTTGGGTTATGGTTGGGCTATTTGCCAACATTAACTCCATTCTAAATGTTGGAAAGTGACATTGTGTTAATTTTTATGGGTATATGTTGGTTGGGGACTTGGGGTGGCCCGTGGCCGTACTCCATATGGCAATATATTGTATGCTACTTTCCCGTTTCAATTTAGTTTGCTCTACTTGATTTCATTTTTGGGAGTGTTAAATACCACCATCTAAATTTATCAAAATCGTCATCATTTCAAGCGAAGTGTTAATCTTGCCCTTACTAAACTCTAACTAGGGTGAATGTAATATGAATAAAAATCGAACCGAACCAAACCAAACCAAATTTATCAATTCGGTTTGGATTTTTTATTTTTTTTTATTTAAGTGCGGTTTGGATTAAGAATTTTAAAATTTCGTTTTTTCGGTTTGGATTTAGTTTTAGGCATCTCAAAACCGAAAATCTAACCAAACCTAAATATGCTTGATATATGTGTAACCTGATTTAGTTACATGTTAGGCCCAATTATTTATAGCCCACCAACCTCTATCTTTTATATACTAGTGCCATCGCGCGCAATTCACACGTATCGGATTGAGATAAATCGAAGGTTTCAAGGGACATGGATTAAGGAGTCCCGGTAAATGTGTTAGAATTGATATGGACGCAATCATTAGCAAAGTGGTTATTCGGTTAGATTATGAGATTTTGTGTTCGGGTTATTTAATAATGAATAAAATTTGGTTTAGTAATTGAGTATTATCTTTTTAAAAATTTAAAATTTTTGTAAGTCGTGTCTTAAAATTGATAACTTAGTAAAATTATAAAACCGTTTACATGATTTACACGTGTGTATAAATGTTTATAAGGAAGACTATGAGAAGCCATTTTTTATTTTTAGAATCTTTGATACGGAACGTGTCTATGATATGAGACGCAATCATTAGGTAAGTGGTTATCGAGTTGGATTATGTCCGATTTTGTCTTTGGGTTATCTAATACTAAATAAAATTTGGTTTAGTAATTGATTATTATCTTCTTAAAATTTTTTAATTTTTGTAAGTCGTGTCTAAAAACCGATAACTCGGTAACAATTGACACGTGTGTATAAATGCCGTGCGTATAAGGAAGATTATGAAAAGCCATTTTCTATTTTTAGAATTTTTTAACGCACATACACTAAAGTTGTACTTTGGAAGTCTTAAGGTCTATATTCTTAAAGATTTTGTCATGATTGTTGAATTTCCTACTTGATTGGTCAATTCAAGTACTTGGATTGCGTGGTCCATAAATTGTCTTCTGCCTCTCTTGTTTGCCTTACATCCTCTTTTATTTCTTTCCTTTCTTCCTAAAAAAGGCTATTTTCTTTCTGTGCAACAATGGCTAGCACTGACAGCACTGCCACTTTTGTAAGGGTATTTCCACCGCCAATTTGGAGATCCAATCAGTCAAAATCTTAGGAAGAGAATTCTGCAAGCTTTCATGTGTATGTGACGGATATGACGAAGAACATGAACAGTCACCTGGAATTTTTGGAAAAGGGAATTCAAGAGTGAAGAAAGGGAAAAAAGAAAAGGGTGAATCAAGCAGGAAAAGAAAACGAGGAGTTGAAAGGGATGACTGCGGAGAATGGCCAGTCATCATTGTTGTTTCAGAGAGTGACAAAATGCAGGACAATCTGAAGGATGGAGGTGAGACAGAAGGGAAAGGGGAGGATGCTAAAGAAGAAATTGAGGCTGAAAAAGCTGCTGAGGAAAAAGCAGACGAGTCAGAAGAGGTGAAGGAGGATACTTCAGAAGAAGAGGATACGGAAGAAGATGAGGAGACTGATGAGAATGCTAAAAGCGATCTGAATTCCGATTCCATAACTCGTAGTGAGGAAAAGAATGTTGTAGAGTCAGATGAATCATTCGAGTCAGAGAGTTATGACTACGATGATGATGATGATGATGATAGTTGTTTTGGGTGTTTTTGTCCCTTGGGAGAGTTACAACACGAAGACTGATCCGGTGTGAGCTGTACCTGCAAAACAAACGGAGACACCGGTTGGGTGGTGCTCCGCCTCCGACGCACAATTTAGAAACTTGAAGAGAGAGAATAAGTGCGGGAATTTAGGTGGGTATCTGCTCGGATTCCAAGCTCAGGTCTTTCTCTGATGTAAGAGAATACTGGTGTAATAAATGGTAAAAACGTGCCCTCAAACAGAGGGACATCTCCCTATTTATAAGGTCTTTGGGATTTGTGCCCCTGATTAGGTCACTGAACCCTAATCATTGGTGGGCTGCGCCATTTTGCGGCTTTCTCGGGATTTGGGCCTGAAGGCCGCCTTTTCCCCTTAATTTCTGGAGTGACACGTGTCAAGCAGGGATTGGTCCACTTTGGGCCATCCTGAGGCTGACACGTGTCATCCTCTGATTGGACCACGTGGCGGGATAAAATTACCCTAAACATTTGCCCCTCACATATGTGACGTGGCATGCCACGTGGCATCTGTGACACGTGTCACGCTCCGATTGGCGGTAATTTTACCATTAAAGAGTAACCGTTCACCTTCCGAGTAAATTACGAGAATGCCCCCATATTTACCCTCTATATATAGCCGTTTTACCCTCATAATTTTGTACGTTTACAAAAAATTTCTAGAGAGAAAACTTTGAGAGAGCAGAAGTCATCCGTTTGAGTCAAGCGCAAGCAAGAAAGTTTGTTCTCCATCAACCCAGCCGGACCCGCCTATCTTCAGATATCACATCCAAAGGTACCGTCTCTGCCTCTCTCAGCTCTTTTTCTTTTTTCAACGCTTGTACATATTTTTTGCAATAAATGGATGCATCACCAACTCACACGGCACAGCCTAGGTTAGAGTCCAGCCGGTCACCAGGGACAGCTGAGTCTAGGACTGGGAGTGCCGTCTTGGGTGTTGGGACCACCCTTTGCCTTAGATTCCGACCAGTTTCGTGTCTGTGCAGGACACAATGGCTCGGACAATGCAGACGGCAACTGATCCAAATTACAGAAGCGAAGGCTCAGGCGGCCAAACGCCTGAGGGAGAAACGTTTGGTCAGGGAGATCAGACGGCTCTGGAGAGATCCCCACCGCGCGCCCCCTCAACTCCCGCTGACTCCTTTTTGGAAGAATGTGACCAAGGCGGCGATGAGGCCGTCTCTGTCCCCTTGACCCAAAATGAGGAGGAGACGGAGAGCGACAGCTCCGCCTCTACCTCTGAGAGCAGTGACGATTTACCCCCGCTTCAGGATAGTGAGGAGGAAGAAAGGAAAAAATGGAACGAGAAGGACGATCCCTTCAACATTCACGTCTCCTCCAAGGACCGGATCCAAATGGAGGAAAACTTGAAGAATTTTACTCAAATGCACCCGCTAGGAGATGGGTATAGGATCCGGGTGCCGCATGAGAATGGCACTATCGCCTGCGAGGACGATCAAGAGAACGCCAACAACTATTTCGGCTGTTATGAGGCGGCGTTCAAGGGAGGTCTTCGCTTCCCCCTTCACTAGGCGGTGAAGGCAATTTTGAGAGGCTACGGCCTCGGAGTCTGGCAACTTACCCCCAACTCTTGGACAAACATTCTGGGGTATGTTACCGCCTGCGAGTTCCAGGGGCTTAACCCCGGCTAGGAGGCTTTTGCTGGTATGCATTATCTTAGCAGAGGCCCAGGCAGCTGGAGGGCGTGGTATACTCTAACCACGCATCCCCAATACATGATGACCTTGGACAAGGTCTCTAAATTCGACGGCTGGAAACACAGGTTCTACCTGATGTCAGCTCCAAGAAGACGGGAGAATTATGAATTCCGTCTGTACAATAAGAAGCCCGACTTGATGGGCCGGAAGTGTGCTCTTCCCCGGATCCCAGAGGAAGATTTTGACAAGATCATTGAGGCAGACTTTTTCGGCCTCACAGACGCAACCTTGTCAACCGGGGAAACAATAAAGGTCCCCAAGAACTGGATCCCCAAAAGCGCCTGGTTTAGGGACGAGTGTTTCCTAGCCGCCTGCGGGCTAGGACACATGTTTACCAAACGCATGCGCCTGAGTTTATATTCGTCTGTAGTGTGTTTGTATCAGAATTGATTTATAATATTGACCAATTTCTTTCTTTTTGCAGAAGAAGCATTAAAAATGTTGCAGACGGAGAAGACTCCCAAGCGGTCCTCTGCAGTCATCCGCAAGGAGCTTGCGGAGAAAGCTGCGGCTGAGGTTAAAGCCAAGGTAATAAACGCCTGACCCTTTCTTAAATTAATCTTAAAAATTATTTTTCCCAGATGCTAACTTTAACTCAAACGGGCTAGGGAGGAGACCCCCCTCCGTTCTCAACAAAATCAAATAATCCACCTCCGCCTCAACTCCTGGCGCCTGAGCCGGGAATCAGCAGATGCGGATAGCGGGGCGAAACGAGAAGATAGGCGGCAGCCTGTGCCTTGATCTCGTCAACTCCTTATCAGCAGCCGGAGGGTTCACCACGCCTGCAAGCGGTTTCCGCTTGGCCGGCTCTGAAGGTAAGAACCCTTTTGAATCCCCGCTTGAGCTGGGGTGGACTTTGCGGGTGAAATCCCACTCTCAACAGACGTCATCTTCAGACGGTCGGCAACAAATAGGTGCTACCTTAGTTTCGCACTCATCACGTATTGATTGTGGTGCAGATCAATCTCCCCGCTGGCCAGACGTCCAGAAGCATGCCAAGGCCATGCTTGACGCCGTCCGGAAGAGGGATAAAGACAACATCCCTGGGATAGAGACGTTCAATTTGGAACGCATTCTATCCCTTCTGGCTGAGGTAAGAATCTAGTCAATTCAATTTTATTTTTTCAAGTGTTTTATCCCGCCTGCAATACTCACACCGCTTGCTTTTTTGCAGGCTATGCTGCGGGTGGACGGGCTCAAACGTCCTTATTCCCACAAACGGTCAGAGGTAAAAAGGGCCAAGAAGTCCACCACAGACGCTGATAATATTGCTTTACACTCGACTATCGTAAATGAACTTGAAACTAAAGCAATCATAATGACACAAGCGTCTAGAATCTAGTAGCTGGAGGCGGATCTGGAGACGGCCAAACAGCGGGCGAGTGTTGCTGAGACGGCCCAGAAGAAGGCAGAGGAGGCCCGGAAGACGGCGGATGAGAGCGCCAAAAAGGCTGATGAGGCGCTCAAGAAGGCCCAGACGGACCTTGGCGCACTTCAGGGTGTTTCTGAAGAGAACACCAACCTGAAGACCAAGGTTGGGAAGCTAGAGAAGGAGGCTGCTCAGGCTCAGAAGACCTTTGCAGCAACCCTGGAGGCGGAGCAGAACCGCCTAGTTGCTGAAAGTGACGCTGACAATGACGCCCGTATGAAGATCGCCTGGGCTGCTTTGTACCCAAACGCAGATTACAGCGTCTGGGCACTGGCTCACAGATATGCCGAGTACGTGGTGTACTTAAGGGATAGAGGCGAGCCAGAGCCTGACTCTTTTGAACCCTGGGTCAACTCTAACAACGAGCCTTCCGCTCCTCAGCTACCTGGTCCGGGTGAAGCACAAGATATACCCTCAGATGACGAGGAGGAGGACTAGGAGGCACCGTCTGCAGGCAAGAAGTGACCTTTCAGCGGCAGTATGCCAATCTTGGTTTTTTATCTTTTCTTTTATTTATTCAGCGGCAGTATGCCAAAACTTGTTTTTTCCGGCCTGCGTGCCGAGTATATTTGTATTTACCGGCTAAGGAGCCGGGTTAATTAACAATTTCTCTTTCTCCCGGACGAGGTCCGATTAACATTTAATCCACTACAACCGTTTGGTTGGGTGGACTTTTATGAAATGCACCGACTGAGTCGGTTTTGATTATTTTGCGTCTGAATTTGAATTCTTGCAAATTTTAATTTTTCATTTTTGCCCAACTTATCATAAGCATGCGGCGATTTTTTGCCTAACTAATCAATAGTCCGGCTGTCCTTGCCCCTGGACGGCTGTGTGATTGGTTTCAAGTGGAGTTGGTTGATTGACTTCGAAACGTTTGATGTTGCAAAGAGCATGATACGTTTTGTAAGTCAATCAATCACAATAGTGATTGCCCAAACCAAGTGCACAACGGTTCACCAACAGGCGTTCCAGTTACTACCCAGGCGACGTTTTGTCCGTCTTGGTAGAGATTTCATAGCCATTGAACAACTCTTTTGCCCTAATTGGGATAGAGAGTGCAATTTTGGAATAAATAACCTAAGTGAGAACTTCAGCCGGAGACCGATTGATTCCCCATGGCATCCGGTATTTGGTAACTTGATCGTTTATCACAGATTATTCTGGTCAGACGGCTATGAGTTGACCAATTCGGTCGTTCAATTTTTGCCGCCTGCATGGGTACGTAGAACCGATAAATAGTCTGTTCTCTGCGACGATTGCACCCGGAGGGGTGTCGCCGGACGCCTTTGTCCATGCTGGGACAGGCGATTTTATAAAATGAGCAACCATCCGACCATTTCAGCCTTTGGTCTTGTTTAGGACCGGTTGTATAGCCACTAAGCGTTTTTGTGTTTAATTTTTAATCGGAGCATTGGCCGATTTACACCAAGTGTCGAACATAGTTGTTTAAACAAACGAGCATGTCTGGGTATTACCTAGACGAACAGGCAACATTGAATTTACACCGTCGAACTTAGTTGTTTAAACAAACGAGCCTGTCTGGGTATTACCCAGACGAACAGGCAATTATTAAATCATACTAAGTATCAAACTTATATAAACAATGGATCCATCTGAGTATTACCCAGGCGGTCAAACAAATGTAACCTTTACTAAGTCTCAAACTTAGTTAGGTAAATAAAGAATCCGTCTGGGTATTACCCAGATGGATAATCAAAAAACAACAAATCAATTTTGCGAACAAAGTCTGAATCTTCATTAATTAACTCACTGTTTACAAAAAATTTACATTCTCAGAAGTAGTACTTTTTCAGATTGTCTACATTCCAAGTTCTAGGCAGGCGCCTGCCGTCTGGAGTTTCCAGGCGGTAGGTGTCGTCCCTTACTTCTTCATAGATCCGGTAGGGGCCTTCCCAATTTGGAGTTAGCTTCCCCAGCTCATTGGCCCTACCGGTTGCCTCCATTTTTCGTAACACTAAGTCGTCAACTTTCAAGGGACGCTTGTGTACTTTTTTGTTGTAGGCTCTAGTCATTCTCAGACAGTAAATCTCATGACGCAAGGCGGCATTGCCCCTGCGTTCTGGGAGTGAATCCAATGCCAGGCGTATTCCTTCCTAGTTTGCCTCTTCATCATATAGCATGACTCTGAGAGTCAGCTCGTAATGTTCAATGGGCAAGACGGCTTCAGCACCATAAACCATGAGAAATGGGGTTTCATCGGTTTCCCCCTTCGCTGTTGTCCGGATGGCCCATAGGACATGGATTAACTCTTCTGCCCATAAGCCACCGGCTCTTTCTATTTTCTTCTTAATGCCGTCTGAGATGAGTTTATTGAAGGCTTCAACTTGGCCGTTTGCTTGGGGCCGGCCAACAGATGCAAAATAGCTTGAGATCCCCTGATCTCCCAACCATGTTTTTAGCTGAGGCGTCTCAAACTGAGGACCATTATCAAACACCATAGACATAGGTACCCCATACCGGGTGATAATGTGTTTCCAGATGAAGGAAATCACGTCTGAGGTTTTGATGTTTTTAACCGCCTCAGCTTCTACCCACTTGGTGAAATAATCCACAGCCACCAAGATGTAGCGCTTTCCGCCTGGTGCAGGCATGTAAGGACCTATAATGTCCATGCCCCATTTTGCAAACGGGATTGGGCTGTGGATGGCCGTCAGGTCAGTAGCCGGACGGTGAATGAGTTTGCCAAATTTTTGGCACTTGTCACATTTCTTTACCAACTCCTTGGCGTCTGCCTCAAGAGTGGGCCAAAAATAATGTCGTTTGGCTCTGACGGATAGGGACCTGCCGCTTATGTGGGAGGCGCAGAATCCCAAGTGCAAGTCTTCGAGAACTTCCTTCCCCTTTTCTGGGGTGACACACTTCAACAAAGGCTTCAGAAACCCCGCCTTGAAGAGTTCTCCATTTTTCAGCTTGAAGCTTGCAGCTCGCTTTTTCAAGACGGTTGCCTCCTGTGGCGAATCAGGAAGTGTGCCGTCTGAAAGATAGGCCCGGATGCCATCCATCCAGGTAGAGCTTCAGTCCAGAATTCCAATGAGATCTTCATAGATGCTTCTCTTTTCAAGAACTTCCCAAAAGACTGACCGAGGCGTATCATGGCAGGCGGAAGACGCCAGTTTTGACAATGCATCCGCCTGGTTGTTTTCTGACCTAGGCACTTGATTCAGCCGGAATTCCTCAAGTGCCTCGGCCTCTTCTTTGACTGCCTGAAGATATTTGATCATAGCCGGATGAGTAGCCTCGTAGCTTCCCTCATACTGGCTAACAACCAATTGGGAATCAGAGTATGCGTCAATTTTCATGGCCCCTGCCGCCTTACACATGAGAATGTCGGCTAGCAGGGCTTCATATTCCGCCTCATTGTTAGAGGCCTGAAACTTGAAGCGTAGTACATACTCAAATCTGTCCCCTTCAGGAGACTAATAGATTACGCCTGCACCACAACCGTTCTTTGTAGAGCTCCCGTCTACATACACTTTCAAAACCTGATCAAGATTTTCCGGAGCCACCGGACGGGTCATTTCAACAATGAAGTCGGCAAACGCCTGACCTTTCACTGCCTTTCTTGGTTCGTAAGTGATTTCAATACTTTGCATTTCAATAGCCCATTTCAACATTCTCCCGGATGAGTCCAAGGTAGACATTAGCCGCTTGAGTGGCTGGTCGGTGTAAATCACCACCGGATGTGCCAAAAAGTAAGGCTTCAGTTTTTTGAAAGCCATATACAAAGCAAGGCCAAAATTTTCAACCATGGGGTACCGGATTCAGCATTTTTAAGAACATGGCTAATGAAGTAAACCGGGAGCTGCACGCCATCTCGCTCAGCAAAGAGAACGGCACTGAGGGCATGATCTGAGACGGCTAAATACATGTACAACGTCTCCCTAGGCAAAGGACTGACCAACCTAGGTAGAGAGTGTAAATGCTCTTTCAACCTCTTGAATGCCGCCTCAGCATCATCCCCCCATTCAAATCTTGCCTTCTTCCTGATTGCTTGGAAGAAGTAGAGGCACTAATCGCCTGACCGGCTGAGGAACCTCCCCAAGGCGGCCAGACAATTGGTGAGTCTCTGCACTTCCTTGACATAACGGGGTGACTTCATGTCTATCACCGCCTGTATCTTTTCAGGGTTAGCCTCTATCTTCCTTTGATCAATCACGAATCCAAGAAACTTCCCAGACTCAACACCAAAGATGCATTTCTTTGGATTTAACATGACCTTATGCTGCCTAAGGGTGGTGAATGTTTCTCGGAGATCAGCAAGGTGATCCGTCTATAGCTTGAATTTGACTATCATGTCATCGATGTACGCCTCCACATTCCTCCCAATTTGATTAATGAAGACCGTATTAATCATCCGTTGGAAAGTGGCAGGCGCATTTTTTAAGCCAAACGGCATCACAGTATAACAGAATAACCCCTGATCAGTGACGAAGGCCGTCTTCTCTTGATCCTTTTTCCAAAGAGGTATCTGATGGAAGCCGGAGTAGGCATCCATAAAACTCATCAAGGCGTGACCGGCTGTAGAATCGACCAAACTGTCGATCTTTGGAAGTGGGTAACTGTCCTTTGGACACGCCTGGTTGAGGTCTGTGTAATCAACACACATGCGCCAGGTCCCATTCGGTTTCTTAACAAGAACCACATTGGCCACCCAGTCGGGTAAGTTACAAGGCCGAATGAACCTGACGTCTAGCAACTTTTTGACTTCGGCAGCTGCCTCTTGACTTCTTTCCTCACCGTGGTTTCTTTTCTTTTGCCGGATGGGCTTCTTTTTAGGATCCACGGTGAGCTTGTGGACAGCAAGATCCGGGCTGACGCCTGGCATCCCTTCCACTTCAAAGGCAAAAATGTCTTTGAATTCTTTCAGAAGAAGATGCAAGTTTGCACCCAACTTTGCAAAAGCAACCATCCCAACCTTCACAGTACGCTCCGGACGGCTGTCGTCCAGAGGTATATCAATATGTTCGCCAGCCGGTTGGGGACGAAGCTCATCTGACCGTTCACCGGTCAGTGATTGCTATTTTTTCTCTTTCTTTACCTCCACTAGCAGAGGTGCCTTTCTTTTCTTCCCGGCTGCTGGTGGGGCAAGCGCTGGGTCGGCATCCCTGTCATTGTCAAGGTCTATTGGTTCCTGGCCGCCTGGGGCCACATTGTCTCTGACGGCTGAGAGATAGCACTCTCGGGCCGTCTTCTGATCTCCATTCAGGGAACCAATAGTGCCGTCATCCCTCTCATACTTGATGAGCATGAGAGACGGGATGATTACTGCCTTGGCTATGTTGAGGGTCGGCCGGCCAAGGATAATGTTGTAGGCGGTTAACTCCTCAACGACCAAGAATCTGACGACAATATGTCGTCCTTGGCCCTTCTATCCCAGCCGGATGGGTAGGTTAATTCTTCCAGTTGGGTAGACC